GCGGCAGCTGCCATGGGGGGCACAGGGGGGCACCCCCTCTCCTCTGGCTCGGGGAGAGAGGGGTGTCGGGGCCCCGAGAGGTGACCAAATTCGAGTCGAATTTATTTCGTTTTTCTGACAAGATTGCTGCAACGCGTGGAAAAAGAGCCTGTGACTGAGTTTATATATACACAGATACATACACCAACAACTGACAAGTCTGAACATGCTTAGGTGTCTCGCCCCACGCGTGGCGAAACCCGCCGCGCGCGTTGCAGCGTACAGAGTATCGGAATTTGCATGGGTTGAACGAGCAGGCAATTTAGCGTCCAGATTTTTCTCACCTTTACAATTCAAAAGTACCGCAAAGCGGGTAAGGATGACATCCTGTCTTTGGCCCACAAGCTCCGCTACTTAAATCGGTTTCGGAGCATCGCCCAATGCTGTTTTTGGCTGCCAAAGATGCATCTAGCCTTCGATGCCAGGCAGCCTGAGAAGCTGTTCAACTGGCGTTTGATATCTTCATCCACCGGCGCAGAAGCTTTTCCCAGTTGAAGTACCCAGAGTTTGGGAAGCCGAAGCAAGCAGTGCTTTTGTTCTGGAGAAGCATGCGGCTATCCACCTGTCTTGGGGTTGCAGAGTCCCAAGGGATGAGAGATCATGGGCCCAATTGCGCAGACAATGCCAATCCATGCCCCATTCCGGGCAAATTTGATTCCACCACCTGGCCTCTCCTCTACCCACCTGTGTGGCGTGAGCGGCCGCCCAAGAAGGATAGGTACACGGTAGATTGTGTGCAGCTTCTGCGTGCACGTCTTCCGGCAGAGCAGGACCCTGCATCTGTGCCAAAAGGCGTTCCAGCTGACGAGGTCATGGGGTCTCAGTCTAATTCCTCCAGCCTCCTTTTGGATTCAGACAGTGCTTCCGATGTCTGGATGCCGAGCGGCCTAGAGCGTGAAAAAACCAAGGATGATGAACATGTCACCAATGCATTTTGCCAGGACGAAAACATTTTACCACCATCTGTTTTTATTACTCCAGCATTGTTACAACCAACAGTTCGCATATACCAAAGGTGTAACAGCCAATGCGATAGTTCCAGCCCCGAAAATGCATCGGTAAGTGCCACACGATGTCAATGAGTTTTCTCAGACACTGCGTTTCCGTCCGCGTTGCAGTGCTCAGCGGTTTGCGTTGGGCACTGCAGGGCGGCTAAGGACACATGGTTTTGGACCCTGTCACACCAACATGGAGATGGCAAATCAGTATTTTTTAAATTTCAGAGATCAAGGAATACTTTCCAGGGTTTTGGAGTTTTAAATTTAGGCTGTATGAATATCAATTAAGAACGTATCGTATGTCACAGGAACTTTGTCCTTCGTGATCACGCCAGGAGCGCTCGCGAACTGGCCCCGTTCACTGTCGCTCCTAGAAATTGAGCCACTTGGATCCACTTGGCAATAAGACTGTAACACAGCTGCTCTTCTCATAGGTGTTCCGTTGCTTGTTACAGGGTCTTTTGTGAACACAACCACTTGACGAATGGATCCACTGTGCCAGGGTGCTCAGCTGAACATGGAGGTCGAAAAAGTAAACACTGTAACACTACACCAGAAAGGGTGAATTGGGCAGGATGAACGACAGACCAATCACACCCTTCAGTCTTGGACGTCACGGCTCCAACTAGTAGAAACAAGAACGATTGATTGACCTATGATGTTTGCCCTTCTTTGAGTGCTTCGAGGTCGACCATCAAGTCTTTACCAATTCCGAGCATCTTGGACCAGCGGAGAGACAACGATCGTCTTCTCAATTTTGCTAAAGCAGACTTTAAACAAAGTCACGAGATCCTTTTCCTTCATATGAAATCATCATTTTTGCAGATCCAACTGCACTGAACACACACCACTGCCTCCTTCAACATGAGTCTACCTGCATAAGATGCGCAGGGAACCAGAACACAGACAAACCATTGTCAATATCGTTATTGGGTTAGAGACGCTGCAACCTTGTTTTGGGCCCTACTTGTCAGACAGACTAGCCACCATCAGTGTCAGTGACCCTAGGATGTGCAAGTGCCCCCCACAGCTTTGTTCGTTTTCACCGAGTTGATCTAACGATGGATTGAACAGCCTAGTCCCTGAGTAAGTATAAGTTCAACAAACTTGTGCTTAAGAAGCAACTTGAGGAGTATGCCTGTACCTATGCCTTGTGAGGACGCTTGTCACACGCATTTCCGATTTGACGTAATTTTCCTGCATGATGGAATCTCTCATCTCCCTTTGCAGAGGTTCCTTGCAACCGAGGTCATGGTGATTTTCAACACTGCAGCCTGGCCTGAGTGCCCTTCAGGCCAGTAAAGCTACCCGAAGTTAAACCTCACTCTGAGAGGGGAAACCCACGTGGGCAATGGATGACTGCTTTATAGGTGTCGCTTTCTCGTTTCTGCCTGTTTTAGTTTCTGTGATTCGTTTTGTATTAGTCACAAGTTGAATCCTATTGTGTTGTGAATTCTGGCTGGCAAGCAGCTAAGGCAATAAATGCCCGTCATCAATGGCAGCAGGCCATGCTTTTGCTCGCTGAGACTGGTACTCGAAGATTGCAACTTGGCACCAGCTCCAGCACTTCCATCCTTGACTGCTTTGCCTGGATGAAGGTCATGCAATCATTGGCCGAAGCGTTCCCGCTGCCGCTGCCCATTTTTTGCTGAAGATGTAGGGCTGTGTATAGTAGGTCCTTTTTTATTCCGCCACAGAGGCACTGCGGCACTGTGCTAATGGGGATCCATGTGAAACAGGTGGACTCAGTCGCTTGGGCTGAGCTCACCACCCTCACCACCACTGCGACCTCATGGCTGCAATCAGTGGATCCATTTGTGCAACATTTTGGTGCCCGGCTCATGGCTTTCCTCGACTGTCATCTCACAACAGGTCTTGTGAAGGGCGAAGATCTTGAATTGGATGCTCTCTTTGATGTCAGGCAGCTTCAGGACTACAAAGTCAAAGTGCAAAAGTCTTGTGATCGGGCTCAGGTCAGGTTTTAATTTGTTTAGCAAGGGTTCTTTTTGTTGCCTATGATGATGTTGAACCATGCCCATCAGGATTTCAATGTGCGAATCATCTACGAGGATCAGCACATAAGGTTTGGCATGTCCTTTTGTCCTTCGGGTCAGTCCTTCACCCAAGCACCTGACAAGGGTTTTTTTTTGGAATATCCACACCCTTGGAGCTGTGTAGGAAGGAGAAGGATGACCTCATTCCAACATTGACCTCTGGGGCAACCAAGTGCCATTTGCTCTTTCCGCCTCAGAAAGTCACTTACGAAGCACGTGAAGACCCGCTCGTGATCCTTTGGGGAGAACGTGCCGATCCATCCCGTGCTGCCTCCGAAGTGATTTTGGAGATCCAGCAGATACATGACAACCCGGTTATGCACACGGTCAAAAAGGCAATGCATATGTGGCTCTTGGATAAGTGTCCATGGATACGCCGCTGTGGCCGGGCCCTGTCAGCGTCGATATGCTCTTTTGAGGCAGAGCTCTCACCACATGCTCCGCCTGAGGGCAAAATTCCAGATGCGTTTTATTCGTGTCCATGGTATGTGAGTGACGCCTTCAACCATTGTAAAGATCCAGATATGAAGCCTCGCTTCAGGTTTATGCGTGACTGCATCATTTGCCAGAGTGACGATTCAGTTTTTGGGTTGACATACGTACCTCCACATACGTACTACCCATCCCATATCCACAAACCCTTGGAGATCTATCACATGCTATCAGGAAGTGGAAGGTTCTTGATCGCAGGTGACAATGACATCAAAGAAGTGCAGGAAGGCTCTTTGCCAAAGTCTGTTGATATTTGTATCTACACCACAGACGATTACTGGGTCCACCTGCCTTACCAAGCACACGCAATGGAGACATTGGAGGAGCCTGCGCTTTTCCTGTGGGGATGGGTTGACGACCTCAGCGACATTGACTACAGCTACTTCGCCGATGACATTTTTGCCGAGTACAAATGAGGGAGGGTTTGCTTCCAGTGTGACCGGACTGGAACGGCCTGAAGAGGCTTCCTTTTCCGCTTATTCCGCACGGCAAGAGCGATTGAGTGTGCGCTCTTCAAGAAACGTCAGGCCTTCGAGTTTGGTGAGTTTGGTGTGCCAGAAATCATCTAGTCAAGAGCCGTCATGGTCTTTGAGGCGAGCATGGGGGTAAGATGGGGTAAGTACGGTGGACTGTCCCAAAGTGTGGAGACCCTGTACCAAGGCCAAGCTTTCCGATCGCTCGCAGTGCACTGTCTCTCGGACCTGATAAAGAAAGCTCGAAGTTTCGAAGACGTGCTGCAGTCCTTTTGGTGCCATCAGATCAGAGTCGTTACTCGTAAGAAGCATCGGCCTCAATCATTGTGGAGACCTGTTCCAATAGTTTCTCTCCGTTTCCGTGTTAACACCCTCCGCCTCTTTGAGGGTGCACTCAGAATGGTGTGCCTGTCTTGCTTTGGGTGAACATATTGTGAGAAGTGTCTCCTCTATTGATTAGCTGTGGGCTGTACCCATCTGGAAGGGAGGCCAGCTGCAACCAACGTATGTGAGGTGACAGTCGTGGCAACGGTTTGGCAGCATGTTTGAAAAGAAATCATGACTGAGGCTGATTGAACATAACATTCTGTCCAAAAGAAATCGGGCAGCCCATCGTTCTGAAGGACTGCATGCAGTCGACAAAGTGAATGGCTTTTAGCGGTGAATCTGCTGGAGAAGCTCCAAGATCATGGTTTAGAGGACAGGAGAGGTAGGGACAAAGGAGATTGACCTGGTCGATAGGCCGATAGGCCTCCTGTTTCCTGTTGCCTCATTAGCCAGGGCAACATCAATGTTGAGTTGGCAACAACTCCGGTGGTTTGGGATGAGCATAACATGGACATTGGTTTTGTTTGCACACAGCTTTGTTCTCAAAGACTTTGGGTGCATGTCCATGTCAGGTGGTTGCTCACTTGCAAGTTTGTCCCCATTCAAGTTTCCCTAGAAATCTAGAAGCCACAGGAATAGTGCGAGCGCTTCTTCAAGGAAGCGCCACCCCACCCTCAGACGGGGGGGAGCTTCCTTCAAGAAGTGTGAGCTATCCTGCATCCTAGCTAGTAGCAGCTTACCTACTGTAGTAGTTATTAGTAGTTTGTTTAGCCCTTACTTAATTGAGTAGCCGCCTACTGAATTAAGTAAGGGTGAGGGCAATGGGCCAAAAAAACATTTCTTTCTATGCGAGGTTGATATCATCACCTACAACAACGTGCTGAGCCTGGTCTCAGAATGCCACTATAAAATCACAGGTCGCGAAGAAAGCTTGCAGCTCACTCTTAAGCGTTTTATATAATGCTTACTTACGCCGCCTCAAAGTTGCGTGGGGTCTTAGTTTATATAGATACGGTAAGGCCTTTTACCTGGCCAGAGCAATCAGCCCCCGGAGGTAGTCTAAAATACATGTTCCCACCATGTATTGAAAGTGTTTGGCCAAGCCCGGTTGACACTTCCTCTACAAAAAGGGAGAGCTTGAGGCCCTTACAGAGGGGCCATGTTGTAACGAGGCAGTTTTTGGCACCTACAGAACCCGATTTTTGTAGAGAAATCATTTTCCACTTGGACCACCAAGACCCAGGACCACCTAGACCACCAAGACCGCCTAGACCGCCGGACCCAAGACACCGCCTAGCCCGTGACAATCACCACCAAGACCACCTAGACCACCACCAAGGCCACCAGGACCTCCAAGACCACCAAGAGCACCACCAACACCGCCACAACCGAGACCACCGATAGATAGTGTATTTGAGCTCAGTACAAAATAAATGCCGCCGCACATATGTAAGCTGACCGTATATTTAAGCTTAACTCGTATATATATATATATATTCATTCCGTGTGTTTAAAAAAGCAGGCGGGCCAAAAAACCTTGCAGGAAAGTCTAAAATACCTCTTCACTTGTTTCAAAAACCGTATATGTAAAACCGATACCGTATTTTTTCTCTGCAGTTCGTAGCTTGTCACTGGACGCTTGCCGGCAAGATGACGGATGACTGACCTATGCTTTCAAGCTTTCTTTCTTACGCCTGCAGGCGTCTATACGTATCTCTAGGATTGGATTGCGTGACTCCTTTACTCTTCAACATTCTCACTCCGCGATCGCGCGAACACAGCTTTCCTCCTGTTGTGTACACGCAGGTCTTTTCCTGCCTGTGTTGACAAACACGCTGCGATGCTGGGCGCTGGGCTGGTCCTGCAAAGCGTACACGCGCGAGAAAACAGAAACCGCTCCTTTCAGCAATAACTCACACTCGGGTTCGTGGCTTCTATCAGGGCTTTAAAGCTAGGCCGCTCCTACTTAATCAAGTAGGTAAAGGGGACAAACTTCTAGTTACTTAAGCTACTAGGTAGGACGCAGGATAGCTCTTGCACCAATGATTGGGTTCGTGGAGTTTTTGGGAAGCTAGGTATATCCATTTCAGGCTGCATCATTGAGCCTGTGCATTTAGGCTCGTGGTTATCACAAGGAGTCGATAAGCCCGCGGAACTCCGACGGTCTATGGCCGCAGGCACATGAGCTTTTGAATCTGCTGAATGTGGCGGTCTACGCCTGTGAACGGGCGCAACGCTGGCCTGTGGCACTGGCATTGATGGAAGGCCCATGAATAGAAATGCATGGTTTGAGGGGTCCTTTGGCTTGAGTCGTTCAGGGCAGCTTTGGGAAAAAAACACAAGAGATGAAGAAGAAAAAGGGGCCCTATAAATTAGTTAATGAGGCCGCCTTAAAGGGAACTCTACCTTTTTTATTGTGCAGCTCCACTTTTTCTGATTTGATGAAGGGTCTTGATCAGGAGAAAGAACCACCTCCCCAATATGGCCAATGTGGCCAACGTGCCATATTTTGCAAAACTATCAAAGCTCCAAGAACAATTTCTTCAGTCAATAAAGATCTCTGGGTATTACTTCTGAGAACTGTTGACTTGCTTAATGGATTCGACTGGGAATCGGCAGACCTGAAGAGCTGTGGATCTGCAGGTGGCCATTTACTCCCCGGTCATGCTCCAACCTATGCAGCAGCTTTACAGGGCTTTGGAGAGAGACAGTGGCAGCAGGCCATAGCGTGACTTGCTGCTACAGGATGGTTTATCCCAATCTGGTTTGGCCTGGTTGACACGAAGAATAGAGAACAGACTCATGATCCTGATCATTGATCACCCTCCACATCACACTCTTTTTCGAGCAAGGAATCATTTGCTCACCGCGAGATCCCCTGCTGATGAACCTTTTCCTCAACTCAGGTTCTCAGTGGATTATTTTTGACTTTCCACTGATATATTCACGCCGCTCCGCGGCAAGGTCCGCCCGCACCGCCATGAAACAGTTGCCCAACAAAAAACGGCGAATAGCGAGGTTTTTGAGGTTTTGCCAAAAACGCCACTACGCACCGTATTTATAGTGTTTTTGTGCTTTGTGAGGCAGAAACAAATGCAAATAGCGATGTTTTTGAGCTTCCCGTGGCCCAAAACACCGCTATTTGCAGTGTTTTTGAACCTGCTGTCAAAAAACACCGCACTTTGCGACGTTTTCAACAACATGGTTGCCAAAAACACTGCTATTTGCGAGGTTTTTTACATTTTCGCGCACAGAGCTCAAGCCTCGGCAATGTGCAAAAGCACTGCAAAAACCAATGTTTCTGCTCAACAAAAACGGCGAAAGCCGTCACCCAAACAGCTCCGAAATCACAAAATATGGCCTCCCGGCCTCCCGACAAGACACATGGAAAAAATATGCATCTCAAAGCCGAAAATCGAAGACCAAAAGTCAAAAAACACATGTTTTTTTTTTTCTCACTTTTCTCTTGGACTGGCGCGTGCACGAACTAGTCCATTCCGTGCTGTAAAAAACAGAGTTTTCTGAAGTCCGCCGTCGTGACCTATCAAAAACCAATGGTTTTGGCCAAAAAATAGATACCCCCCCGGCAAACCTGTACCTTACAGTTGTTTTATGCCATCCGGATGATCACGCCCTGAGCACCTTCGGTGCGGGCGGATTTGCACATCCAGGTTTCTCTGGAAACAGTGACAATGTTTGGCGCTTTACTTTGATGGGCTCTTGCAGTATTCCAGACTCCTTTTTTGCTACGTTGAAACACCCGAATCCAAAGCTTCAGCCAGCGAATCAAAACAAACTGCGGTGAGCCCACTCTCCCAAGTGAGGTTTCTTGTTGAGCTGGAAGATCAACGTTGTGCAGAAGAAGTTGCTTATTCTGCTGGGTTGAGCGTTTGTTCTGCACATTGGGAGGCAGCTGTTTCTGCCAGTTGGGGCATCAGGTGACACGAAAAGCAATTTAAGAATCGCATGACGATGCTCATGCGGCACCCAACGATTACTAGCAACAAAAAGAAACTACTAGTAATAAAGGACATCGCTACTAGGAGCAAGAAACTACTAGTAGCTCCTGGCATTTCTACTAGCAGCAAGAAACCGCTAGTAGCTCCTGGCATTACTACTAGTAACAGGAATACTAGTAGCTCCTGGCATTAGTACTAGTAACAAGAAACTACTAATAGCAAGAAACTACTAGGTGGAGGCCATCGCTATTAGGTTGGAGGCCTGACTACTAGTAACAAGAAGCTACTAGTATATGAATATATGCTTTGTACTGAGCCACAGCCGCCGCATGAGCCCCACCAGCAAGCCCAGTGGCTGCAAACATGGGATGTGAATGGATTTGACATCGCAGAAACGGTCGAATCGTTCTTAATGGATTCTTTTGCTCAGGGTGCATGCTGGTTTACTGTTTAAGAGAAGCGACAAGTGTATTACAAGAAATGAAAGCAGGGAGGCTCTGGTCTCGGGTCAGCTCTGCAGGTGTCTTTGTCGTTGCTGCAGAAGATGAAAGACCAGCAGCTCCCTTTCTGGCATGCAATGAGCACATTTGTGCATGCTACTGCCAAAGTGACTTGCATCTCAAACACTGGCAGCCCTCTATCCCTATCACCCAAGACTTTGTGAGGAACCTCATTCCACCTTCCTTCTCTAAAAAAAAGCTCTTGACTGAGCGGCTAGAGACAATGTGAAAACAAGCTCTGGTTTTGCTCATGAAGCGAAACATCGTAGAATTGCTTCGCAGAGGAACTCATCATGACGTAGTGGTTCACTGAAGAGCTGCCACTTTTCGTCATTGGAATCAATACAACATAGACGGGGCTGATCCAGGCACAGCAAATGTGCAACCATTGATCAGCCTTGGAGCCTGTAGCAATTTCCAGATTGTGATTGAGGGCCGCAAATTCCATGACATGGTACGACTGCGCTGATAAGGCCACGGAATGGGAAGTTGCCTTGAGGATTTTCAGGGACTCTGATCTCAAAGATATGGACGTGGAGCTTTGGCCTTGCAATACTTTCCGATGTTTTGCTCATTCCTTGTGAACTGTTGGTAGAACAGAACTTGGAAGACCTTGTCAATGGGATCAAGATGTCAGGTGGCTTTCAATGCAGCGATCGGCGCTTGCCAGTTTGCCCAACGCTGGCAAGAAGCCTTTTGGCTGCTGTCAGAGCTGCAGAGAAACGATTTGCAGGCAGCAAGGGTTTCTGGGGGGTCACGGAATCATGGAGCATATCAAGATGGATTGCTTGATGTCGTAGTTTCTTTAGCTGTCAGGCGGATGATGTCTCCTATCTTGGGGCTATTGGAGCCTGTGGCAAAGCGCTCCTTGGCCCCAAGCACAGACGAAAGATCAGAAGCAGAAGGAGCAACTAAAGTCTTCAACAATTCTCTCAGTGTCTTAGTGATGGTAGTTCGTTGCATGTGCGACTGCTCGTTGAGTTTGCTAGAGATTGTTGGCTGCTATCAACATCAACAAAAAGGGAGAGTAGAGAGTACTGATAAGTAGATCGCTGCAGCAATCACTTTAGCAATCACTTGGCTACTTGTTTATGCATGTGCTGTGTTCCTGATTCCGTTGCACACCCTGGTTGTACCAGGCTGCAATGGGAAAAGGCCTCGATGCTCTTGAAGTCAGCTCCAAAGAAGTTGGAGGTTTTCAACAGTGTTGCTTGGATAGCAAATAGGTTCAGACCACTTCAACCAGCTGGTCAGCTGGTCAGAAAGTAGATTCTGGCATCATCAATCAGCGGCAGGTGCCAGACAAGTACAGGCAATGCAAGAAGGACAACATGATTTTTGGGTACGGTATCGGTATCCCGGTGTCTGACCTTAGGTTATGAGTGCCTGCGCAAGGAGAGGGCTTTTATTAGTGCTGTGGGAATATAAAGAGGGATTTAGATGCATATTGGATGGCGCAGTTCGTTTGGCGGAAGAACCTGGGTGGAGGAGCAGCAAGTGGGTGCAAGCCCTTCAAGTCTTTGCAGAAACTCGGAGGTCTTCTGCGCCAGATTCTTGGCTGCAGTGACTCCAGGCGGATCTCGGCCAATAGTTTCTTCTTTCTTTTCTTTAGAATAGGAGCCCCGTTCGTAGCGTCCTTGCTCAGCGATGCCCTTTGCTCCGAACGTAGCGTCCTTGCTCCTAGTAGTAAGGGAGCCCCGTTCGTTTCTCCCTTCATGTTTGCTAAATGGGAGAGAGCTGAAAAGAAAGATCACACGGTCTCAAACCTAAAGTCCAACAAGTCCCTTGGCCGCCATTGTGTAGCACCTCAGGATGCATGCGACTTGAAGGCACGCACTTGAAGGAATCATATTTCCAAGCTAAGGTGGTCCAGCGGGCACCTTCCAACATGCTTACAACTAGCAAGGCAACAGCAGCAATAATGGTGAGAAAGGCGTTTTGCATCTGCACTCATGATTGCTCCGCACAATGCATCACATTAGTATGAAACTCACTGCAAAACATTTGGAAACAGATGTTGGAGAAAGGAATCTAAAATGCATTGCTTTGTGTGTTACAACCTCTGTCAAACAGGAGCCCGTGAGACCCATGCATTCGTTTACACTTCAGAACTGTCAAGGTAAAGGGTAGTCACAGAGTCGGAGACGACATGGCTTCTGTGATTTGATTTCTTGGCAACACACCACAGTCACAGTCATTGATTGACACGGTTTTGCCTGTCAAATTTCTTGCCTGACATAACACTGGTGTGCGCAATAGATTCAGAACCAAGAAGCCTCAAAGCACGACAAGCACTTCGCTCATGTTACCCGGTACCGAGCTGGTACCTTTGAGCAAATCGGCAGTAGGCACCTGGGCTAGTTCTTTGCTTCTAGCTTTTGTCGAGACAACACGTATCACCTTTGGTGGGCTGCTTGACGTGTGGCACGGTGCAGGCGGCCCGAGGGGCCTAGTCTAGTGGACTCCCAGTTGGTCTCCCCTTGGCAAGTACCGCCTGACCGAGGACATCGTTAGCTACAACACCCTGATCAGCGCTTGTCGCTAAGCTTTGTTGTTGTCGGCTCTGGTGACAGAATCGCCCATGTGCTTGACCCACATGTTAGGTGATTCATCATCAGTCGAAGGCGAAGGATCTTGTTTATGAGACAGACTTGATCCCAAGAACCTGCGAAAGCAATATATATATATATAATGTTGCATGCAAGAATATTTAAAGAGGCCTGCATAGTCTCATGACTCCTATAGTGCGCAAATCAGCCACTTTCGTACTTTGATGGCTGCTTGAGGTGTTTTGAACATACTTCAATTACATTACCCCCTCTATCAATCCTCTATCCCACTTTTGTGTATTTTTGTGTTTCATTTTAACAAAGCTGCCCTGCGACCAAGAGCGGGCCGGTGGGCTGGAGCATGCGGTTTTGAGGTGGCCGTGGTTCGCAGAGAGAGCTGGCTATGAGGATATTGAATGAGCTCAAGAGCTCCCACATGCAGCCGGACCGTAGGTAATCTGGGGGACTTGGCACATGGGCTGAGACATATGCCTTCAGTGTTGAGGTGGTGTTGGGAGCCCTGAATGATAATGTTTCGTCTATTCACAAGCGCTTGTTGATCCTGTTGAAGACATTTTCTTGCACAATTTGAACTCTTTAGCTCCTGTTACCTCTCATGTTTCTGTGAAGAATATGATGATGAGGTCAAGCAAACATGCGATACATATATCACATATCAATCAACACTTTCAGGTGTGGAGGTGTGACTGGAAGATGTCCCACTTATGCACTACCAGTCAAGAGGCGCACGTTTGTTCACGCCCATGCAAAGAGGTCAGTGGCACGGCCACCCCGCTAAGATCCTAGGTCCTAGCTGCTTTTTGATTTGTCGACAATTGTAGTCGCAGATCCAATTTCTCCAACGAATGCCGTATAGTCAAAGATTGATACAGTGACCATGATCGCTCCAGCGACCTGCACACAAATCAAGCATCCAGATTCCCTTTACAAGGGAGGGCGGTGCGGTTTGGAATATATTTGGTATGTGTGGTGATGCTCGCCAGTCCAGGACCTATTCACCTTCAGCTCTGCAATAAGCCTATGCCAAGGGCACGAGGCACTGACATGCATCTGAACTTGGTTGCCAGTGGCTGGTCCAACAGTCAACAAACACTATGGTATCTCTCCCCAAATTCCACTCCCAAAGGCCTTGCCAATGTGGGATTCAACTGCGCATCAGTGGCATGGTAGGCAAAAAACTAACTGCTAAAGAAGCACTGAAAGGGAGGAGATCTGCCAACCAGTTGAGCCAGCAAAGGAGATCTGCCAGCTCTACCAACCACCATTGGGTGGAGGGAATTGTTCCCCGGATTTGAAAAAACCAGCTACTTCTTGGGTCTGCACTTTTTGCGCTTCGGCCTGGACTCTGCGAGGCACTACACATGATGCAGGAGTTGAATCAGCTGTCGGTCCAGGCCAACTTGGTGATCTACACAGCAGCCATCGGTGCCTGTGGACGTGGACGTCAATGGTCCGAAGCCTTGCACCTCTTTGATGAGATGAAGGACCCCAGTCCCAGTCGGAAGAAACGATGGTGGAAAGGACGCAGGTGACTAGTGAAAAGGACAGATGTCATCGGTCCGGTCTGTAGTGGAGAAGAATAGGGAGGATTTTCTATCACAAAAGAGGGAGAGCCATGGGAGAGCCATTTCCTTGGTACCACAAAGAAGGAGGCACAAACGAATCGCCTTTGGTAGAGGCTCAACCTAGGTTTATTGCTTTCAATCAGGACAGGAGGCGCTAAGTATTGGGATTTCCAGAATGCTGACACATATTCTTCTTGACGTATGACTTGCAGGAATCCCACATACCTCCGACGACTTTTAGCTGCTTGTTTCCATTTGGTTGGCGCTGGTTTGTTCTGCATTGTCTAGCTTTCTCTGTCGAGTCATGGCTAGTACTTCCTCTCAAACTTGCATTCGTTCCAAGTTGTCTGCTCTCCCCCACCAAACACGTGAACTGCAACATTTCGTTTGTTTGGGGGAGTGTACAGCATAGCAGTGCATCTGTGTTCACGGCAAGTATTGAACAGAGGGAAATGGAGTCCAGCATCATTTTGCTCAAGATAGTTACTGGTGATTGGGAGCATAGATTTCCAGTGATTCATGGAGATTCAGGAGTGAGATCATTTTGTTTGCAAGTAGACAGTGCAAGAAAGCTACACCTCAGGCTTCAACACTGTCATGAAGGCCTGTGATGAGCAGTGGCCAATCCCTTTGGTCTTATTCCGGGATATCTCCCGGCCGAACAGTGTCTTGGTAATTTAAGGGCTGCCGCCCCTGCCGCCGACCCCGGATTCTCAGGTCCG